TTGGTAGTTTGATAGGGATTGCATTGAATCTATAGATTGCTTTGGGTAGTATAGCCATTTTGACAATATTGATTCTTCCAATCCATGAACAGGGTATATTTCTCCATCTATTTGTGTCCTCTTTGATTTCTTTCCTCAGTGTTTTATAGTTTTCTATGTATAGGTCTTTTGTTTCTTTAGGTAGATATAGTCCTAAGTATTTTATTCTTTTTGTTGCAATGGTGAATGGTATGGTTTCCTTAATTTCTCTTTCTGTTTTCTCATTGTTAGCATATAGGAATGCAAGGGATTTCTGTGTGTTAATTTTATATCCTGCAACATTACTGTATTCACTGATTAGCTGTAGTAATTTTCTGGTAGAAGGACTTCCTATTCTTGATGCTCAAGTACCTCTTCTATAGGACTCTGTTTCCTACAGAGGGAAGGGCCTGAGGCCTCTTTTTTTATAGACAGACCTCAGAGACATTGCATGTTTGGTTCTAGACCAGCGTGATGAAGCATGTGTAATAATCAAGCAACTCGTAGGAATGTTTTGGCTTCCCAGTGCATAAAAACTTGTTTGTACTATACTGTAGTCTTATTAAGTGTGCGGTAGTATTGTGTGTTAACATGTTGTTGTTCAGTCACTAAGCTGTGTCTGACTCTTTGTGACTCACAAACTGCAGCACACACATGAAGTTTCCTTGTGTTTCCCAGAGTTTGCTCAGATTCTTGTCCATTGAATCAGTGATGCTATCTAACCATCTCATCCTCTGCCACCCTCTTCTTTTGCTTTCAGTTTTTCTCAGCATCAGGGTCTTTTCCAATGAGTCAGCTCTTCATATCAGGTGGCCAAAGTATTGGAGCTTCAGCTTTAGTATCAATCCTTCCAGTGAATGTTCAGGGTTGATTTCCTTTAGGATTGACTGGTTTGATCTGCTTGAGTCCGCCGGACTCTGACGAGTCTTCTCCAACACCAGTTCGAAGGCATCAATTCTTCAGTGCTCAGCCTTCTTTATGATCCAACACTCACATCCATACATGACTACTAGAAAAACCATAGTTTTGATTATACAGGCATTTGTCAGCAACATGATGTCTCTGCTTTTTAATATGTTGTCTAGGTTTGTCATAACTTTTCTTCCAAGTAGCAGGTGTCTTAGTTTCATGGCTGTAGTCACCATCCACAGTGATTTTGGATCCAAGAAAATAAAATCTGTCACTTTTTCCCCATCTATTTGCCATGAAGTGATGGGATCAGATGCAATGATCTTAGTGTCTTACATGTACACACCTTAATAAAAAAAAGACTTTATTGCTGAAAAATGCTAATCATTTGAGCCTTCAGTGAGTCATAATAATAACAGCACAGAGCATCATAAAAACATAGTAATGAAAGCATTTAAAATACCGTGAGAATTACTGAAATTCAACATAGAGACACAGAGTGAACAAATACCATTGGAAAAATTGTGCTTTTAGACTTGTTCAAATACAGGGTTGCCACAAACCTATTTTTAAAGAAACACTATCTATGAAGCACAGTAGAAAAAGATGTACCTGTACAAACTTTCCACCCGGGTTTCCCCATTTGCAGCTTATACGTAACCTCCAACAAACCTGAGAATTTGTTTCTGAGACTTTCAGACTCAGTGGCCCTCCTTTCCACAGCCACTTTTCAGCATCCCCTTCCCCACCCTGTTAATCCAGTTGCCCCTCACCTGCCCACTTGCTACAGGTGTTAGGGTTAGGGTTATTAATGGCAGATAGTTCCATCAAAGGTAGAGTTCACATCTGTTTCCTAGCCTCTATTTTGGAACAATTTCTGAAAAAGAGAATTGGAGCAGAGAGGTGTCTGGGATGCTGAGCGCCAGCCGTCGGGTAGCCCACTTTTTACAACTAGTTCTCAGTCTCTCTTTCCTGTTCAGTGACTGTCTGCTTTATAATATAGTTGGGACATCCCTGTACTCCATACCAGGTTGTGAGCTCTCTGAGGGGAGTTAGTGAGTCTTAGTCATCTTTGTATAACAACCTAGGGACCGGTACAGTAAGTTTTTGTTTAACTGGCTTGCAGCAAGTTCTCTGAAGGTAAAGACTTGTTTCTGCATAACAGGTTGACTAACATCAATGGTTCTCTCTTTCGGCTCTCCCCGCCAACCCTTCTGCAGCTAACCGTGGATTCTCAATCGGGATTGGTGACGTCACACCTGGCCAAGGGCTGCTGAAGGCCAAGTATGAGTTGCTGAATGCTGGCTACAAAAAATGCGATGAGTACATCGAAGCCCTGAACACAGGCAAGCTGCAGCAGCAGCCCGGCTGCACCGCCGAGGAGACTCTGGAGGTGAGTCTGACTCTCTGGGTCAGCTTAGCCGCCAGTGGCATTGTAGGCCCTGAAGAGAAGCGACAGAGGTGAGTGGAGAGGAAAGCTGTGTCTTTAGCCCGTCTCTGAGCTGTGCAGCTCCTGTGTGTTTTAATGATGGGAGGGCCTCCCATGAAATCTGCTCCATCCCTTCCAGCTTTCGTGTTCCAGGTAGTGAACAGCTTTCTGTTCATTTGGCCACATGGGGCTGCTCTTGTTCCATCATCACACCTGGGCCCCTTCTGTCCCTAGTACTTCAGTGCTTTTGCCCTATTACCAGCATCCTGGGAGCAGACTGATACCACAGCTTTGAAAGGATGGTCTTTGAAAGAGACATAGTGAATTCATGTTTGAGAGTCACGGTCCAGTCTGTTGCACGTTCCAGTCCTGTTCCAGTCTGGAGCTAAGTTAGCTGAGAACTGGATCTGCAGGTGTCAGAGTCAGAATGGCCGGAGAGTCCTGCGTTTTCTCTGAGCAGCCTGCCTTCACAGTCTGGCTGTACCAGGGCCCTGTCTGACTCTCTTCTGCCTGCAAGTAGCCTGGCGCTCAGAGCTTTAACTCAACTAAGTAGGGAAGAAAGGACTTTTGAAAAATAAAAAAAAATTTTTTTTAATTTTATTTGTATATCTTTTGGTTGCACTGGGTCTTGGTTGTTGTGTGTGGGCTTTCTCTAGTTGCAGTGAGCGAGGGCTGCTCTTCACTATGGTGCACTAGCTTCCCATTGCAGTGGCTTCTCTTACTGCAGAGCACGAGGCTCCAGGGCACGCAGGCTTCAGTAATTGCCGCATGTGGACTCAGTAGTTGCAGCTCCTGGGCTCGCCGGCACAGGCTCAGTAGTGGTGGCACACAGGCTTTGTTGCTCCAAGGCATGTGGGGTCTTCCCAGACCAGGGTTCAGACCCATGTCTTTCTGCATTGGCAGGCAGATTCTTTACCACTGAGCCACCAGGGAAACCCCAATAAGAAGTTTTCTGATGAACTTTTTAAAGCAAAAAGAAAGCAGAGTTGTGTGAGGTGTTCACAATTAGCTCATTCTTAATATAAGTCTTAAAAACAGAAAGAGAGAAAAATGAGGTGTTTCTCACCTAGAAGATTACTTGAGGCCTCAGGTGCACTCCTCTTTAGCAGAAGCATGATTCCTAGCTTATTGAGCATCATAGGTTGTGGGTTGAGGGATGGCAATCTAGATGAGCTCATGGACTAGAGTATTCCTGTTGAGTTGCCTAATCACATGCCCAGCTGGTGGGAATTCAAGTGTGTGCTTGGCAGAGACAAATTTTACATACAGCACACGCCACTCGGTTTTAGTACGTATTACATAATGTCATATAAAGTGCAAAATGTTATACATGTGTATACACAGTATACACCAGCATGTGTATATGCAGTAATGTATATAATATATATACAGAGACACCGCTATGTAGGGTATATACACAAAGCTGCATATATTCTACCTCATTGGCCATTTAAATATTTTTCCGAGGTTTTGTTACTAACCATTTTTTTCTTACACACTGATTACACACACTGGGACTTCCCAGGTGGCGCTAGTGGTAAAGAATCTGCCTGCCAATGCAGGAGACATAAGAGACGTGAGTTCTATCCCTGGGTTAGGAAGATCCCCTGGAGAAAGGCATGGCAACCCCCTCCAGTATTCTTGCCTGGAGAATCCCAGGGCCAGAGGAACCTGGCAGGCTACAGTCCATAGGGCCACTAAGAGTAGGACACAACTGAAGTGACTTAGCACCTGGAAAATGTCAGTCTGTGGAGATAGGACATCTTGGTCTTCTAAGGTCTGAAACCTTTTATCTGCTGGAAATCTGACATCTCTCTTGAATTCTTCACATTCTCTTAAATGTCACGTTGAACATCGGTAATCACGTGGGCACTGTGCACCTCTCTCTCTCTCCCGCCAGGCTTTGATCCTGAAGGAGCTGTCTGTGATCCGTGACCACGCAGGTAGCGCCTGCCTCCGGGAGCTGGACAAGAGCAACAGTCCCCTCACCATGGCTCTGTGTGGTTCCAAAGGTGAGCGCCTCCTCTGGCTGCTGCTGTCACTGCATTCCATGCAGGCTGGCTGGTCGTGCTCTGGAAAATGTGCATCAGGACGTCAGGCCTAGAATCCCCTGGTTGTTCGTCCAGTGGTTAGGACTCAGTGCTTTCACTGCCCAGGCCCAGGTTCAACCCCTGCTCAGGGAACTAAGATCCCACAAGCTACGCAGCAACCCCCTCTCCAGCGCCCAAAAAAAAAAAAGAGCTTCAGGCCTTTTGTTTATAAGGGTGTATCTTTTCAAGTAATGCTTAGAGAAGGAGACGGTTATTTGCATTTTTAGAATGTCTAACTCCATTGGAGAAACTTGTTTATCATGTGTGTGGATTTCTGAGTTTGAGGGTGCTTTGAGTAAAGTTGGTCTTATTTTTTTGAAGAAAGAAAGAAGAGCCAGGGATTTTTAAAATAATATGTTTGATGATAATTAAATACACTTAAATTTTATAGTTAGTCAGGACCTGAAAGTGTTAGGTTTCATGATGCTGCACTCAAATTCAGAACCCTGAGCTTTGCAGACTTCCTGTTTTCATGAATTTCTGACAGACTAAAGTCCAGTCTCTTTAGTCTTGCCGTCCTTCACCACATAGTCTCCCCACTGCTCCTGGTGCACACCCCACACTCCTGTCCTGGGTCTCTGCTTCCCACTTTCTGACCCACTTTGGAACTCCTCCCCCATGTCCTCTGTGTGGAAGTCCTAATCTTCTCCAGGAGTCCAGCTGGTTGACGCTGCCTTCTCGAATACTCCCCTGGAAGTCTCTCCTCCAGCCCCAGGGTGCTCATCCGCCCCTGGGCTCTAGCCCTGCCTGGCCTTCCTTGTGTTACTGACATCTCTATCCTTGCTGTTCTGGTTCTGTCCTTCACTGTCCCTAGAGCATGAACTTGTTGAGGATGGGGGCTGTACCGCGTTGTATTCCTGTTTTACCAACGGATCTGCTTGTGCTTCAGTTACTGTGATTTTGGTAAATGAATGTTCCATTTCTGACCTGCTTCCCTAGGTTCCTTCATTAACATATCACAGATGATTGCCTGTGTGGGACAGCAAGCTATCAGTGGCTCTCGAGTGCCAGATGGCTTTGAAAACAGGTCCCTGCCTCACTTTGAAAAACACTCAAAGGTAAGCAGGAGTGGATCAGATACAACTTTGAAGGCCAACCTTCAGCAGCACGAAAGAGTGACCGAAACTCTGAGGCTGCCAATTAGGTGACTCCTAGAGCTGGTATAGAGGCTGGGGACCACTTAGGGTTATTCCCTCTGCAGGAATAACTTGATTGAGTCCTGTAGAAGGAGCCTCATGAAACTCGGAGCTATAAAACTTGGACCAGTGCCCTTTTGTATATTTTCTCTTCTAAGGAGGAGGATGTCAGTTTCCCATCCAACTTTACCTTAAGTAATCTGAATGTGTTGTTATCATTTGTGTGCATTCAATCTGTATGCTTATTTTAGGGAGCACTTACATAAAAGTATCAAGATTTTTAAACAGTGAACATGTGAACCACAGTGAAACAAACCAGGAAATTCCAGGTTCTCTTTGGAATTCCTAAACTGCCTGTAAATGACTTCTGAGTTCCATTGGCCCTCTTGGTCTGGGCACTAGTGTCAGCATAGTGAGATAGACAGGCCTATATTGGTGTTTTCTGAGATTCTGGGGTAGATAACTATTAAATGAACAGTTGAGGAACTTAGAGCTGATTTGGTCACTTAGTAATTCTGGATAGAGTCAACTGTTATTCACACTAAAACACAGATGCCCCAGCTCCTCCTGGCCTGAGGAGCTGTAGGACTTATGGCCAGCCCCGCCTGGGGCGATAGGACTACTGTTCTGAAATTGACAGACACTGTATCAAGTGGCCCCAGGAACAACTTGGGCTTTCTGCCCAAGATTACAATTTATTAGAGGTCAGGCAGCCAGCAAGTCACTGGAGTGGTACCTGACTGTGCTTATATGGCTCGGAGTCAAAGCCTGACCAATTTAAAAGAGATTCCAAGGACATCTAGTGCCAGACTTTGGGGTAGATGGTACTTGCCTAGAAGTGCCTTTGAGTATGCCAGCTGCCCCTTAAGTGAAATGGGGGCAAGAGGATTTTAGCCTATTCATCTGAATTGTCCTCCAAGGAACACAAACCTGTCCAGATCAAAGGCCATTTGGCATTTCATAGGGTGTTTTTTATATGTGGTTTTTTTTGTTTTTTTACAGTTGTTTTTTTTTTTCCTCTTAATATTCACCCATTTAAAGTGTAGAGTTCAGCAGCTTAGTGTATTCACAGAGTTGTGTGATCATCATCGTAATCTAAATTTTAGGATATTTTCAACAGCCCAAAAATGAATCCCCATAAACTGTAGCAGCACACAGCTATGTTTTGGAGGTGGACAGGTCCGGCCTGCAGGCAGGTGTCTTGGGGGCAGTCATTTCCCGGGAGAAGGCCCGGGTGCCCGCTAAACTGAGACCCGTGACCACCTGCCTGCTCTAGGAGTAGCAGCCNAAAGTGTAGAGTTCAGCAGCTTAGTGTATTCACAGAGTTGTGTGATCATCATCGTAATCTAAATTTTAGGATATTTTCAACAGCCCAAAAATGAACCCCCATAAACTGTAGCAGCACACAGCTATGTTTTGGAGGTGGACAGGTCCGGCCTGCAGGCAGGTGTCTTGGGGGTAGTCGTTTCCCAGGAGAAGGCCCGGGTGCCCGCTAAACTGAGACCCGTGACCACCTGCCTGCTCTAGGAGTAGCAGCCCAAGGTTCCGTGTCCCTCTCCTGAGCCATCTGGCTGCCACTGACATGAGCACCAGCCCTGGCTGGGACCTCACTCTCCTTGTCTCTGGTAAGGATGGTTTGAACTAAGTTATTTCTTCTTTAGGAAAGGGCATAAAACATGGGAGTGCATTGGCCAGGTATTTATAGTCTAAAGGTGAGGTGTTTTCTGATTTGAATGGGTCTTGGCATTGTGGACCTTAAACTTTTTTTGTTAGATTTTTATTTATTCTTTTCCCTACCTCTCTTTAGCTCCCAGCTGCCAAAGGCTTTGTGGCTAATAGCTTTTATTCCGGTTTGACACCAACCGAGTTTTTCTTCCACACGATGGCTGGCCGGGAAGGTCTGGTTGACACAGCCGTGAAGACAGCTGAGACAGGATATATGCAGGTAACCTGAAGAAATGTAGGCCATTAGCAATGAAGCCGGACAGGTCTGCAGATCTTGACTGCTGAGTGTTTGCTTCTTTTGTACCTGACTTCTGATTTATTAAGTCTTGGCATTTAAAAGGAAAAACTGAAAGATGTAGATGTCCTAAAAATAAACAACACAAAAAAGTAAGATGTTTAAGAAATAAAAAGTTCAAAATCAGTGTCTCCTTCAAATGGTGCAGACCAGGCTAGAACCACATGTACCAAAGCCCTGCTGGAAGAGAACATGGACCAGAAGTCCCCGGGCACGTCATCTCACTGAGTCACTACTTCCTAATACACGGAGATAGGGTGACAGTACCCACCTCCTGATTACACACTGAGAGGGTCGTGCTCACTCTGCCGCCATTTATGTAATCCATCATCAGTGTCACTCTCAGGGACGCAGAGAGCCTGTTCCACTGCCTGCAGGAGGACTCAGGCACTTGGAGGGCTGCCTCTTTCTCCATTGTGTGTATAGTTGTAAGAGAGTAGTCTTTAGGGACAGGACTGAGCTACATGCTTTTTATGCCTGTGTTTCTGAGACTGCCACAGAGGTACATCCTAGACAGCAGAAGGGTGAAAACACATCCTACCTTGTGCTTCCATAAGACCACAAACAAAGGATCTCTCTCAGCCTCTCATTCTCATTTCTACCTTGTACTCCATAATCTACACTCTGTTCTTGCTTTTTGTTTTGCCGTTGGTTTTGGTTTTGGTGTGGTTTTTTTTTTTTTTTGATGATTTTATCTGCTTACAATACATGCTGAGGTTAACACTCCAAGTTGCTAGGCCATGAATTGCTGTGGTTTTGTGTCCCTTTTCTCCCCACCATGGACTGAGAAGCACAGCCCTTGGCAAGCAGGGAAACCAGGAGTGATAAACCAGAGATGTGAATGAGTAAGCCAGAATACACAAGGTTGATGAGAGCAAAATGGACTCGAGTCGGTACCCACCTGTTTCCATAACCTCTCATCTGTCCCCTGTGTAGCATCACTGATGGTGCTTCCCTTTTAATCATCTTTTAATGGGAAGTCGCCCTTTAGCTTCAGAGTGTACTTTTGTCAGAAACCTAACAGACTGTGAAATGCTTTTAACACTCTTACCCAAATGTCTATTGACTTTATTTTTTGTCCTTTACCTTTCTGAAGTCGAGAATATGACTTTCCCAGAGCGGCTTGTTAACCTAGAACAAATTACTTCTGGCATGAGGGATTTTTGTTTTGAAGTTGCTGGAGGAAGATTTCTTTCCCTTTAACTCATTGAACCCCTTCACCCCGCTGGCTGGAGGGTTCTGCTGGTGGAAGGCTCTCCCTAAGCAGATTTAAGAAATGCCTGCTGCCTGCTGGTTCAAACACAACACCAGTCCTGTTCTCTCTTCTTACCCATCAGTCCCAGAAGAGAACCTGCACCAGATCCTCTGTAATTCATATTGAAGTCCACAGGGGTCCCAGATTAATGTGTTTAGAAATGCAAAGCAATTGCATTAATTTAAACCTTAGGGAGACAGAGAGGGAAGGCAGAGCAGCCTAGGAAAACACTGTTTGCAGAGTCCTTCGGGGGTGATGGGGTTTAAATTGCATGTATTCTAAAACACAGTGGAGTGTGGAGCATATTCTAAATCCCACTGCACAGGCTAGTGAGGCACTTGTGGGGCTGTTTTTGAGGTCAGGGACTCTTTAAGGGATTTCTAATGTTTTTATGTGATTAAAAGCACTGGTAGCCTTGAAACTCAGTTGTAAATATCAACCTTCGTACACGTGACTAGTGCTCTCAAAGCACCTGAACTTTCATCTCCTCTCCTCCTCTTCATTCAGAGAAGGCTCGTCAAGTCCCTGGAAGATCTTTGCTCACAGTATGACTTGACAGTCCGCAGCTCTACGGGCGATATCATCCAGTTCATTTATGGGGGAGACGGCTTAGATCCTGCAGCCATGGAGGGGAAAGATGAGCCCTTGGAGTTTAAAAGGGTTCTGGACAACATCAAAGTAAGATTAAGCATTATATCTGTGAGCGTTTTCAAGGATATTTCTTTAGAATGGATGTGCCTTTGGCATAGCACACAGTTAATGCTGTCATGTCTACCCAACCACCAAGATAGTGTTTGTCTTTTGTATTCACTTTGCATAATTTTCCCCAGGTATTAAGGAAAGAGAGTTTCTCAATTGCAAAGTCTAGTTATTGGTAGTAAACCAGTGCCAGTGGAAGAGGGCTTTGTCTTCTTACCAGTGTCTAGTAAAGTGTGATAGAGACCGTGTAAAAGTCATGGGTGTGGAGAAGCAGGCCTGTTTCACATACTTTTAACGGGGGATATAATTTAGAGCAAGATTTTTGAGAGGCAGCTGGACAGTGTTGATCTGAATTTAAATCTGAGTGCCCTTGAGCAATACTTAAATTTCACTTATAGGAATTTGCCCTACAGAAATGATCTAAATGTGCCAAGAATGTTCTTCCAGCATTGTTTATAGCAGATACAGGCCATCTGTGGAGGACAGGTCAAACATGGAATGGTCTGTCCACAGGGTAGGGTGCAGTGTAACCATTAAAACTCTGAGGGAAAACCCATGAGCTTGGGGGTGGAGAAGTATTTTCACACTTGATTTTTTGTTTTTTTTTTCGTAACAGCAGTTTATGGTTTTAGCGCAGATCTGGGGTGGGGTGAAGGTTGGGAAGAAATGACCCAATACCCACTGAATAGCCCACAAGCCGTTACGTAAGGTGGAGTATCAGTTTATGCTGTTTTCACCTTTATATTAAAGGTAGAGTCTACAATGCGTTAAGACAAAAACATCACAGGTTGCTGAAAGCTCACTCTGGGTGAGGTTGTTTTGTCTCTTATAAACTCCTTCACTGAATACTGCCCCCTGCCCCCCTCCAAATCACACTGTTTTCTCTCGATACTCGAGGCAGTCTTCCCGTGCCGGAGCGAGCCTGCTCTCAGTAAGAACGAGCTGCTCCTGAGCGCCGAGTCCATCATGAAGAAGAACGAGTTTCTCTGCTGCCAGGACAGCTTCCTGCAGGTGAGCTCTGCGGGGGCTGCGCCCCTGACTTGGCTGTCACCAAGGAATCATTCCCCAGGTGCCGACAGTGAAGTATATAAGCTGGGGGTGCTTATGTAAGTGTTTCTTGTTAGAAGATTTAAGAGTGGCCCAGGCAGGAGGATCTCAGCAGTCCACATAAAGAATTTATCTCATGTCTTTTTTAGTTTGTCTTTTGCACAAGTGTTTCTCTGGTAGAAGACGAGTGCTCTAGTTAAGAGAACTGTTTGGGTTTTTTTTTTTTTAACCCTGTCTCTATCGACCCCTGCCACCCAGTTTTTCATCCTGTGGGCCAACTTCTCCCTCAGTGGTTTTGAAACCCAGTAATTTGTAATAATAAGAGCATTGTTTTAATGCCATTTATTGTGCTTTATACAATAAATGATGCAGTAGTGTTTATTTAATACCATCATTATTTTAAATTGCTTTTTTTCTTTCTACAATATGGGTTAGAAATGTAGTCATCCTTCGTTTTTCTTCCAGGGACCTGTTACTTGACATCCTCTTAGTTTTTTAGTTTGTTTTTATTTTACAGACCTTCTCCTTTTTATTGATAATCGTGGTTATGATCAAAAGCAAAGGAATACAGGAGTCAGTACATGGTTCCCTGCGTATACTGATTGGTGATTCAAATATAGGACCAAATATATCCCTTGAAGTATATAAAAAATAAAAACAGTAAGACACTTAAATAAGGATATTTTAGTTAACAACTCTTCACTCTTTGACATGGTGAGATACAAAAGGTGAAAAAGAGACTCTTCCAGATTTTAATATATTTAAAATTAAGAGCCTGGCTAAGCTGAGTGCCTTCGTTTTGTTTGTGTTGCTTCACAAGTTTGTTTCTTTAAGTAACAAATGAGAGGTGTGATTTGGTTTTTCTCCATGACTCTATTCACTTATTTATGTTTCTGTTTCTCCTTGAAGACCTTAACTGAGACAGGCTATGAGAAATACAACGAGGTAACGTGCTTCCACGCTGTGGCTGCCGAGCAGGGGGCATGGCTGTGCTGCGCCCCAGCGGTCTGCCAGCCCCAGGCACTGCCGAGCGCTGGCCCAGTGCGGCCAGCAGGGCTTCCCCTTCCTCACTTGGCCCAGGCCCTTTCTTGCCTAGACGTGGTTTGACAGTGGTCCCCTGACCAGCAGCGCTGGTGGGTTCAGCGAGCACTTGTTCATCCGTCCCGTCCCCGTCTGTCACACACCCCGCAGATCCAGGGCCGCAGAGGTGACTGAACGTGTCCTCACCCTCCAGTCACTCAGTCTGAGCTCAGGGTTGCCGAGGGATTCCAGAATTCGCCGACCAGAACAGATTCACCTGAGCTGAGAAAACGTCGTCTGGCTGTAGTGTCAGAGCTGGGGAGGCAGAGAGAACTCCTGGGTGACGCTGAGCCCTAGCCCTGCCAGAAGCCAGCAGCCAGGCTCACTCACACGCTGCGAGCTGAGTGTGAGCGTTAGCTGCTGGTCAGCCGTGTGATTAACAGCCTGCCGGTTGCCGTGTTCTGAGTTCCCTTGGTCTGCATGAGTTAATCCTGCTGAGTTCTTAGTGGCTTATCTCAGTTTCCCCTTCCAAAAAGGGAGCTTTTTTCCTTTTAACCTAACTTCCAGAATATCTGCCATAACTCTTGGGTGAGGGAACTCATTCCTTTTAGCAAAGCCGCTGCCAGAAGCATGTCCACATGGGTGGCAGCTGAAAGCTGTCCCTTTGCAGCACCCAGACTGGGAAATGGTGTGAGGTGTGTGCTGACGACTTTGCAGAAAACCTCTCCCCTGAGTGTAGACTGTGCAGAAACACTTGGCTTTGTAGAGGGGCCTGTTCCCTTGGCCAGGCCCTGACCTCCTTCAGCCCAAATGGCCTCAGCTCTGGAATGATGGAGCCAGTGTCCTGCCGCCCCACAGGGGGAGCACACCACGCTGGACAGCAAGTGACTAAGAAGAGTTTGTGGACATAGACCGTGTGGACCCCAGAAGTTCTCGTTTTTTGCTTTCAGAAAAGATAGTAACTAGAAATTGCTCACTAGTCTATGGCAGGCTAGAGAGATTTATTTTTGCAATGTTAGGACAAAACCTGGCTAGTTAAGTCTCACGCTATCTGTAAATGCCTTATAGAATTTTATTTTTGCGAAAGTGGGCTTCTGGTCCAGTCTGCCCTTTGAAACATTTGTTTCAGACGAAACTTTAGATATTTTCAGCTGTGATATAGATTGAGTAGACACTGGGCAGGCATGCTGGTCTTCTGCTATAGTTATCCTCACTCGAGAAATAAGACCTAGTGAGGCTTTGCAGCCATCACAACAGTTGTCCACCCTTGGGCCTGCCCAGGGGTTTGTCCAGATGTGTGGATCTGACTTCAGCCAGCCGCACAAAGCAACTGGATGCCTGCACTTGGCCAGAGTGCCCCCCAACCCCCAATTTGTCCAGAATTATTGAGGGAAATCATATTTCCCTGAGGGTCGCTGAGAGAAGCATAGTCTATCCACCCTTTCCCTTACTGTCAGAAACACCCCTGGGTGAAACCAGAGCAGCAGATGTGCTTTCTCTGAAGGATGTAACTACTAGATTGCGTGTGTCCTCGGCTCACCTGAGAGGTGCTCTAGGAGTCAGCCCCATGGTGCGTGGTGTGTGCTGGCAACAGGACATGGATGTGTGTGGTCCATTAAACACACCACACCCTCTGTGAGAACTCAGAAGGAGATGCTGGCTGATCCTGGTTCTAGGAGCAACCACAAGGCTGGGTTTACTTCACAGACACATACCAAATTATAAAGCATATGGTTTTCCCCTCAGACTGGTTACCAGAAAACTTGGGCCTGTCATTTCTAGCCATGCCCTGTGGATCTTTCATACAATGTAATTCTCTTCACCTTTCTTGCTCCATTTTGTCATCATCCCAGGGCTTAGAGCTCTATTCTTAAAATATAGCAGGAGCAACAGATAGGTTGATATTTCATTTCCAGCTTTGAGGGTGATTTCCTGGAGGCCTTACAAAGTTCTGACTATGTGTGGGAAGGGAGACAGGGGATCGAGGTAGAGGTGAGGGTCAGAGATAGAGGTGGGACCTGGGAGTGTTTCCTTTGAAATGAAGGCAAGCTGAAGGCATGTGCTTGAAATGTGCATAGAGTGCATATTTAAGTTGAACAGAACAACTCAGAAGAAACCCTCAAAAATTTATCAGTCTAAAGGCTTAGAAGTACAAGTGGTGCAACAGTACTTACTCTGGGCTGCATGAACGTGGGCAGCGAGGGGTTCCAGGAGAGCAGGGGAGAAGGAGGCAGGTGGAAAGGGTCATCCTATGTGCTGGGTTAGCACTGCAGATTCATAGGAAGCATCATCAGAGTAAAAAGACCTGAGAAACACTTCAATGAATGAACAGTGTGTCCAGGGTATGGGTAATGTGGTGTGTTCCTTGGAAAAACATTTCGTAATAGAACTGTATCCATGTATAGTGTCTTATTTAGCCACCACTAAAGTAGGAAGGATTCATCACATTACCAAGTTTACTAAAAAACAAATCATGTCGTGCAAATCACTGAGAAACATATATCTGATGATTGTTGTGTAATCTTTCAGGAGATAAAAAAGTTTATCAAAGAGGTTTCTGAGAAGATCAAGAAGACCAGAGATAAATATGGCATCAACGACAACGGCACAACAGAGGTAGTGGCCCTCCCCAGTGGGTCAGGAGATGCAGAGGGTTTTCCCATGCTGCTGGCCCTGACCTTGAGCTTGGCTTTTGTTCCTCTAGCCCCGTGTGCTGTACCAGTTGGACCGGATCACCCCAACCCAAATAGAGAAGTTTCTGGAGACATGTAGGGACAAGTACATGAGGTGAGGATGCTAAATGTCTCAGGCTGCCGGGCAGTCCAGTGGGTCTCTTGCATCCTTCCTGTTTCCCTAGGAAACAGAATCCTATGCCCACATCACTTACCAACTGCCAGCCTTGAGCAGGTTCTGTCACCTCCTCTCTAGGGGCTCCAGTGGGTAGACAGGCTGAGTGCTCCAACGTGTGGAAAGAAGCGAAAGAAATTTCCAAGCATCGTCTTTTTCATAGGGAAACTACCAATATATTTGGCAAGGGCTGGCTGCTTTGTCCACCTGCAGTACCATGTATGAGCAGAGCTCTTAGGTCTTCTCCAGTCATCCCACGCTGACCACAAGTAGCCACACTGTGTTCACTGTCATCATTGGACCCCTCTGAGCATTACTCCTCCTCATCTGTACCTGTAACTGATCTGTGTCCATTTCTTCCTCTGTCACAAACCCAACCTGGGTCCTTGCCAATTCCTTCCTGACCCTGACGGCATACGTATTTTTTCTGTTGAAAGGAGATAATCAGAAACCTCCCCAGCAGTTTTGGGGTTTTAGTTTTTTCTTGTTGTTTTTGGCCATGGCACAAGGCTTGCAGGATTTTAGTTCTCTGACCAGAGGTTGAACCTGGCCCCAGCAGTGAAAGTACAAAGTTCTAATCACCGGAGTGCCAGGGAATTCCCTGGTTTTGTCTTTTAATTGAGGTATAGTTGACCTGTATGTAAAAGTATATAAAATGGGTATATTTAAACGGGCTTTATATAAGATAATTGCATCTCTTTTGTTTAATTGTATTATGGAGTAGGGGCTTCCCAGGTGGCTTAGTCATAAAGAATCCTCCTGCCAAGCAGGAGACTTGGGTTCAGTCCCTGGGTCAAGAAGATCCCCTCAAGAAGGAAATGGCCACCCATTCAGTATTCTTGCTTGGGAAAATTCCATGGAAAGAGGAGCCTGGCGTGCTGCAGTCCATGGGATCGCAAAGAGTCGGACACAATTTGGCCAACTAAACAAACAACAGATAGTTGACCTACAACATTATGCAAGGTTCAGATGCAAACATAGCAATTCAATATTTGTATATATTGCAAAAAGATCACCATGGTACATCTGGTTACCATCTGCCACCATACAAAGATATTGTATCATTATCAACTGTACATTTCATCCTTTCTTGTTTCAGGGCACAGATGGAGCCAGGTTCCGCGGTGGGGGCACTCTGTGCTCAGAGCATTGGCGAACCAGGCACCCAGATGACCCTGAAGACTTTCCACTTCGCAGGCGTGGCCTCCATGAACATCACCCTGGGCGTGCCCCGCATCAAAGAGATCATCAATGCCTCCAAGGCCATCAGGTGCCCTCATCCATCTCCCTCTTTTTCTCACACTCATCTGTCATGTCCTGGAGAAACAACATTTCTCTTGTCATGAGTGGGTGTGTGATAGATGCTAGCAGACAGTACCTCAGACTCTGGAGTGACACTTGCTAGTGTTAACCCAAGACAAAATGTCCAAACTGGAGAGAGTCAAAACTGAAGCAATGGTTCTTTGTGACCACAAGTCACATGAAAGAGAGAAACCTAAAAAAATGCCTGGAAAAATTGGAACCATGTTTCATTGTAGACTTCATCCATTTGATGTTATTATTCCCAGCCTCACTGGTCCTGATGATGTGTCTGTGACTCGATTTGTGGCCATATTCTGTAACAACACTCCCCCAGCCCAAATCCCACCCCCTTGGTGATTTCATGATAGAATTTGTAGGTGACCTGAAACTAGGAAAGATAAAAATATTTTATAGCACATTCAGTGACAAAATCATGTCTTACCTATGATCTGAATGTAACTAAATACATTCATACATCAATACAGCATTAAAGGAGAGAACGTTATACTTGGTTCTGGAACAGCACCTGTCCATGTCCAGGGTGGCATGGACAAAGTATTGTCCACTGACCGCCTCCTCTAGGTCAGTCAGATCACCGAGGAGTGTGCGTTCAGGGGATGCCATCCAGGATGGCAAGGGTGGAAGCTGCTAGCTAGTAGCTGGAGGAGCCGGAGGTGTCCTGGAGGGGAGGTTGTGGGGATGGAGTGGGGTAAGCTATAAGTGACGTGATTTTGTCACTGCGTATGCCATAGTATACAAACCTGTAGTATACAAAGGGTCAGTTTACTTGGGGAACAGAGCTGAAATAACTACGTGTTAGGACCAAAGAGGAAAAGGTAGGTTTGCTTGGCCAGGGAGACTGTTCTGAAAGTCACTCACTCACCAATGGAGTGGATTGCCTCATGAGCACGGGTGTGTGCAGCCCTCAGTGAGGACTGCGCCTGACTCCAGTGAACGCTCAGTACAGTAAGCTGCAGTTGCTGTTAAGATTCCAAACGCACCCGGGCTTACCGCAGTGTGGTCTTCAAGCAGCCTCGTAATCCTTTGCCCTTCCTGCCCACAGCACTCCCATCATCACAGCACAGCTGGACAAGGACGATGATGCAGATTACGCTCGTCTGGTGAAAGGGAGAATTGAGAAAACCCTCTTGGGAGAGGTAAGACGAAATCCCTCTTGATAATAAGAAAACTGAACCAGCTGTATTGCCAGGACGTGTGAGAACCACTTGTAGTGGATTTACCAATCCGTGTGTCCATGCTGCTCTGTGTCCTTAAAGGAGAGAGGGAGCCTCCTCTGCTCTGAGGGACAGGGAAGTGACTGACGGATGTTCTGATCTTTTGACACCGCAGATTTCAGAGTATATTGAAGAAGTGTTTCTTCCTGATGATTGCTTCATTCTCGTCAAGCTCTCCCTAGAACGGATCAGACTTCTGAGGCTGGAAGTGAGTCCCGTAACTACATGCGTGAAGGAAGTCATCCCCTTTCAGTCCCAAGACAGGTGCTGATGAACGAGGGCAAGAGCTATGCATAGCACGGGAAGCCCCAGAGAGGCTTCCGCTTGTTGTCTGTCCTCTGGATCTTTTGTACCTTCACATTCTGTCTACTCCTGGCCCTGGCACAGATATCACCACCTAGAGACACGCAGGAAATTAGTGGAGGTGGTATGCAGACCACAGTGCCTATTTGCTGTGACACAGCATGCCGGCAGGTGGAAGGACCTTGGTGCCAGCTGTGTCTTACCCACCTGTGGACCCCCAGCGCAGCAGTGGCTGGCTCAGGATATGTGGGTTGACCTGGCTGCTTCTTATTGGCATTTATAAACGAGTAACAGTGGCAAAACAGACGTAGGAGGGGTGGGTGGTAGGATCTACTTTCTTAGTGAATAAAGCAGAGGTGTACATATAGTACATACATACATATGTATGTCTGTTATTAAAATATCACAGTACCAAAAAAGACATGATGAGGAGAAAGATTGGGGGGGAAATAATTAAAAAGGTTCCTTAGTGGGGCAGGATGCTGAAAGGCCAAGAAACACAGAAGCCACAGCCTCCAAATCCCGCCAGTCACATCCTGGGCGTGCGGCCCCTCGCAGGTGAACGCTGAGACGGTGAGGTACTCCATCTGCATGTCCAAGCTGCGCGTGAAGCCCGGCGACGTGGCCGTGCACGGGGAGGCAGTGGTGTGTGTCACCCCCCGAGAGAACAGCAAGAGCTCCATGTACTACGTGCTGCAGTTCCTGAAAGAGGACCTCCCCAAGGTGAGCCGCAGGTCGCCTCCGCAGGTGGGCGGGCTGCCGCCTGGTGGTGCGTGAAGGGAGGGAGCACGTTCATGTCTAAGCTGCAGAGCCAGGCAACCTGATGATTGCTTCATTCTCGTCAAGCTCTCCCTAGAACGGATCAGACTTCTGAGGCTGGAAGTGAGTCCCGTAACTACATGCGTGAAGGAAGTCATCCCCTTTCAGTCCCAAGACAGGTGCTGATGAACGAGGGCAAGAGCTATGCATAGCACGGGAAGCCCCAGAGAGGCTTCCGCTTGTTGTCTGTCCTCTGGATCTTTTGTACCTTCACATTCTGTCTACTCCTGGCCCTGGCACAGATATCACCACCTAGAGACACGCAGGAAATTAGTGGAGGTGGTATGCAGACCACAGTGCCTATTTGCTGTGACACAGCATGCCGGCAGGTGGAAGGACCTTGGTGCCAGCTGTGTCTTACCCACCTGTGGACCCCCAGCACAGCAGTGGCTGGCTCAGGATATGTGGGTTGACCTGGCTGCTTCTTATTGGCATTTATAAACGAGTAACAGTGGCAAAACAGACGTAGGAGGGGTGGGTGGTAGGATCTACTTTCTTAGTGAATAAAGCAGAGGTGTACATATAGTACATACATACATATGTATGTCTGTTATTAAAATATCACAGTACCAAAAAAGACATGATGAGGAGAAAGATTGGGGGGGAAATAATTAAAAAGGTTCCTTAGTGGGGCAGGATGCTGAAAGGCCAAGAAACACAGAAGCCACAGCCTCCAAATCCCGCCAGTCACATCCTGGGCGTGCGGCCCCTCGCAGGTGAACGCTGAGACGGTGAGGTACTCCATCTGCATGTCCAAGCTGCGCGTGAAGCCCGGCGACGTGGCCGTGCACGGGGAGGCAGTGGTGTGTGTCACCCCCCGAGAGAACAGCAAGAGCTCCATGTACTACGTGCTGCAGTTCCTGAAAGAGGACCTCCCCAAGGTGAGCCGCAGGTCGCCTCCGCAGGTGGGCGGGCTGCCGCCTGGTGGTGCGTGAAGGGAGGGAGCACGTTCATGTCTAAGCTGCAGAGCCAGGCATCAGGGAGCGAAAGGGCTGCCGAGACTGAGGGTGGCGCCCTGTTCCTCCGTTTCTTTGCCACATCCCCGAGGAGTCAGGCAGGTTCAGGTTTCCTTCTTCACACTGCCTCACCGTTCTGCCTATTCAGCTTTTCTCTGTTCTCTCATAAAACTCGTGGTGGAAGAGGGCACGACCCCTTGAGCTTCTCTTCCCCCCGTCCCCACCCCCCAGCAGCTCAGGCAGCACACAGGCACTCCCAGCTTTGGCGTGTTCCTGGCAGTCACCTCTGAGAGACGGGGTGATCACGACCACACACCCAGGCTGTGACACCCCCGGTCCTCGCAGCCACTGTGGTTTCTGGCTGCTGGGTGTGTGGGGCCGTACCCACTGCGGGGTCTCGAGCCCTCTGTGTCTCTGAGTCCAGGTGGTGGTGCAGGGCATCCCGGAGGTGTCCCGAGCTGTCATCCACATCGATGAGCAGAGCGGGAAGGAGAAGTACAAGCTCCTGGTGGAGGGTGATAACCTGCGGGCCGTCATGGCCACCCACGGCGTGAAGGGCACCCGGACCACCTCCAACAACACGTATGAGGTACCGCTCACAGCCGAGGTTCCTACAGTCATCCCAGCTCCCTCCCAGCACATTCCTCTGACCCTGCTGTTCACTCTGGGTCTACACCGAAGACTACCCCACACTCATCTCTGGGGAGGGATACAGGGTGCTGGGAACCTGCAGGGCAGAGGAGGATATGAGGGCAAGTTGGGGAGCCCTGGATGTGGCTGCCTCCATTCATCTCTGCCCTCCGCAGGTGGAGAAAACCCTGGGCATCGAAGCTGCCCGGACAACTATCATCAACGAGATCCAGTATACAATGGTCAACCACGGCATGAGCATCGACCGGCGGCACGTGATGCTGCTGTCCGATCTCATGACCTACAAGGTGCGTGGGGCTCATGGCTACTATCGCAAACCTGGTGTCAGGAGCGCGAGGCTTGGAGAGCGTATGTGGTGCGTGGCTGTGATGACCACCATTACCCCAAAACCAGAGTACGATGGTCCAGCTGGTAAAATTCCAGTGTGAGAAATGCAACCTCATGGCAGGAGGCAGGGCGTGGTTTCTATCCTAAAGGAAAATTAGCCATTGCCAGAAGCCTAAGGATTCCTTGACAGCCTGAGGTTTATGTCCTGTCGAACCCATTTCTCATACTTCTGTAGCCATTTCTAGGTGAAAATCTCCCTGGGCAACTGAGTTTGGTTGGCTGGTTGGTTTTTGTTTTTGTCTCATACCAAAAATCTTCCCTCTATCAGTGCCATAAGGCATGATGCCGCCACAGACAAACTTGTACTGTATTGCAGCAAATTCAGAAACTCGGTGGGAGAAGTGACCTATTTCCTGCCACCCTGTAGTAAAAACAGTCATTTTAAAGCCTTCCCTTCCGTTTTTGTTCTGTACGCATATATCAGATTACTACAGGTAAACAGTAAAAATGAGCATGTCATTTTTACTGAACATTATAAGTATTTTCCACAGTGCTATGTAGTTTTATAAAGATACTTTTTTAATGCTGGTTCAATATTCCTTTGAATGAAAGTACCTAAATTTACTTGTTTCCCTACTTTGAGGTTTTTAAGTTATTTGAGTTTTTATTTCTTTGAGCCATGAGAAACATCTTCAGAATTTTTTTTTTTCTTTTAGGGAGGAGGGGTGCAATTTAGTTCCCCAACGAGGATTTGAACCCAGACCCTCAGCAGTGAAAGTACAGAGTCCTAATCACTAGACCACCAGAAAATTCCCTACTTCTCAGTTTTTGTTTAGTTCATTTGCATTGGCGAATAGTTGATTTACAATGTTGTATTAGTTTCTGTTGTATAGCAAACTGAGTCGGTTATACATACAAATATATCCACTCTTACGTTCTGTACCTGGCAGAGTCCCCACTCTGGCGCTCTCCCTCGGCACAGGGTGAAGTCCTGGGCATCACCAGGTTTGGCCTGGCCAAGATGAAGGAGAGCGTGCTGATGCTGGCCTCATTTGAGAAGACGGCTGACCACCTCTTTGACGCTGCCTACTTTGGGCAGAAGGACTCTGTGTGTGGTAGGTTTGGTGCTTGCAGCAGCCTCAGCAGAGGCCTTTGTGGGTTTTCGTTGGTGTTTCGTTTTGTTTTTTACAGTTTAAACCATGGCCAGGGCTTCTCTAGAGGTGGAGAAACTGAGCAGGCAGAGCTTTGACTTGTTTAAGAATAAAGTCGCATCTCACAGAATTGGAACTAACAAAGCCTGACTGTGGCAGCCTGCATCCCCCGCATCCTTTAGAAGGCTGCTCAGTCTTCTGGGCATGTAGGTCGCCCCTGGGCATGTAGGAATTTTCTAGCCCTCAGAAGGAGAGTCAGCCACTCTGGTCCTGCCCCAGGCGCTCCTGCCGTCCCAACTCCCTGAGCAAGGCAGCTGGCACGCTTCCACCGGCTGCCTTGTATGCCATCTCGGCACGTTGCTGAGGCCTGGGTATCAGCCCTTTCATGGTGAGAAGACCCAGGGCACTAACTCGTTATGATCTCGCCCTATGCTGGCCTGCTCTCCCCACACGGAGCCTCTCTGACGGGCCTAGGAGAGAGGGAGCCGAGGGGTGGCTGTCACAGCAGAGCGCTGCTCCCCCCGCCCCAGAGTGCCCACTCTACTCCAGCCTTTCCCGTGCCACGGCAAGGCCCTGTGGCCTGAGCTGGGAGTCTGTCTGGGGCTCAGACAGCGACGCCACACCTGGCCCCCGACGCTGCTGCTGGAGCCCTGCATCCTCGTGGCCATTTCCCCGCTCACCTCCTTGTGTGGAGTCACCGCCCAAGGTGATGGTCAGATGGGACCCAGGCAGTGTATGCCTAGTTTTTGCTTCTAAGATTAGGGTCACAGGTTGCAAATAGAGGGAAAGAGAAATTACACAGTTCTTTACTATAACGAAGGGTGAAAGGAAAGAAAAGGCAGAGATGGGGGCAGGAGAAGGGCAAGCCCCAGGCAAAAGTGAGAGCAAGCCTGTTTGCAGGACTGAGACCCAGCACCTCCACTCCCCGACAAGGACACTGGGCCCCCGTCTTGGCTGCTGCCCTGCTGCCCACACTCTCCACCTCTGACTCCTTTAGGGGCCTGGTGTGGTCATCCTGCCCCAACTTTAAAATCTCCTGGTCCTTTGCATGTTGTAACTCAGTGTCAGCCCTCACTCTGTGTTGGGTTTTAGTTTGATTGCCTCTCTGGCCCCTGATAGCACAAAGCCCAGAACATAGCAGATATACACTTGCTTATTATAGAACCAGAAGCCTCACGCAGAGCCCAACATTTAGATCTCAGAAAGCTGAAAGGGAGCTTGGAGAAAGAATCTACACTGTGGCCTAACTCCTGTCACTCCATGAGGGGCCCTGCCTTCTTAGTGTTTCTGATTCAAGCTGTGGACTCCGAGGTTGGGGTGTTGTTAACCCTGGCCCACCCCCGACCCCTGGGCACAGAACAAATCAGTGCTGCTGTTTCCATGGGGATTGGCATCTGCTCATTGCAGTCGCAGTTGCTTGTTCCCTGGGCCCTAAGTTAAGGACATGCTGGGTGGCAAGCATCATTTAGTGTATCTTTGCTGTTTGAGTTTAGTGCTGAAAGGTGAGGCCCACAGGATGCCTGTAGCTGAAGCACAACGGCTGCTAAGCCAGCAGCAGGGCTGTGAGTGAGCACTCCCTTCAGCCAGATGCAGGAACTCCCCCAGCCTGCCCAGGGGCACCAGGCCGTGCCTTCCGCATCCATAGATGAGTAAAGTGAGCAACCCCAGTTCAACACGTCGGGGCTGGGACTCCAAGTCAGTCTCTCTGTCCTGCTTGAAGACTTGCCCAAGTGTGGAGAAGCTCTCACCTCCTTTCTGGTTGGTTTCAGGGGTGTCTGAATGCATCATCATGGGGATCCCCATGAACATTGGAACTGGACTCTTCAAGCTGCTCCACAAGGCCAACAGGGACCCCAGCCCTCCCAGGAGACCCCTCATCTTCGACACAAGCGAATTCCACATCCCCCTTGTCACCTAGTCCAGTGAAGAGGGGGCCGTTCCTGACCTTGGCTCCTTGTCAACTGGAAAAGGGCTGGAGGCCAGCAGCCAACCCATGAGCTTTGTGCTCCCTGGGACCGAGGCCCTGCTGCGCCCACCATGCTGGCTGTCGGAGAAGGTTCCCGGAGTCCTGGGAGCCACTCATCCCATGACCCCAACCATAGCACAGTGCTTGGTGGGGTAAACCGGGATTTTTCTGTCTGTTTGAAACCTGCTTAATCTGGAGACAACTCTGCACCTCCTGCCCACCCCACCTCCATGGACTTGTGAGGAGGCCCCAGCCAAGCATCTCTGCTCATTTCCACCTCCCCTGTCCCTCCATCCACTCACAGGGGTCCCAACCTGACCAGGAGCCAGTTCTCAGCCCTAAAGCCAGGGCACATCTCAGTTCTTCTGTTCCCCGGTCATGCTGGCCTCTCCCAATGTGACATACTAATGTAAATATTGTTCGTATTATTTATTTGTTCACTGAAGAATTTGTAGTTTTTATTGTTATTTTAGTTTTTCTTTTGAAACCCAAGAAGCTGTGGAAACCAAGAGAGCCAGCTTTGAAGCATCACTGGAAAAACTGGTTAAGCAAATGGGGCTGTCTGGGATTTGAAACTGAGTTGAAACTGTCATGAGGCCAAGCTGCTCTCAAACACCTTTTCCAGACACCCCCGCCACCCCCTTTTTGTCTATTTCCAATGCCCATGGGGGCACGTGAGTCAAACTCATTCTTTGTGGCTTGTAGAAGCCTCTCCAGAGTTTACGGCCGGCTGAGGCGGGGACTCCCGGTGTACATGGAGATGAGAAGTGGGACTGGTCCAGACCCTCTGCACTGTCTGGGGGGCATCCATACTCTTCCTGAGGAATCCACACGTGTGCCTTGCCTCCTGTAGCCGAGGCGCACACCAGATAGGTGCAGAACCAGAGGCCTAGAAAGTGCCCCAGGAGCCTGGCATGAGAGGGCCCTCTGGGTGCAGGCAGGCACCAGCTCTCAGGGGTGAAGCGGTCACCCAGACAGGAAGGGTGGGGCCCGCACAGGGGTGGGCACCCGCTGGAGTTGACGTTCCCCAGGTGGCAGCAGCAGGTTTCTCAGAGGACATCTGTGATGATAACACACGTGGGACTGTGAGGAGGGACCTGGCAGGGTGTCCCAGAAAGACCCATGTTTCACTGCCTGCTTGGGCTTCTGCCAGTGACTGCGCCATCCATTGTTGATGGGGTTTCCAAGGTTTACAAGTGGGTTTTGTGAAACACCAGGAAGAAACGTACATAGCTTGTCTTCCAGAGAGCACAGGGATTTGCTCACAGAGACGGTGGTTCTTTGTGCCGAATTTGCTCCTTGGGATTGGCCTGGGGCCACAGAGAAGGATCTGTGGCGGCCACAGCTCTCCTCTAAGAACGTTGTGTGGAGCCAGTCCTTCCCTTCCCTGCCCAGAGCCAAGCTGCTCACTCTGGCTTTTCCTTCCCTCCCTGGGGGCCTTGGAAAACCTAGACTGCTTGGTCAGAAGTGAGATGATATAAAATATGGAGCTTTGACCCGGTTTTCTGGCTCCCTGCTCTTGAAAAGAAAATCAACCTCTGAAACAATAGCTGGTGCATCTCAGTGTATTAAGCTACTGGAAGACACAACAGTGCAGGCCAAAGAGATGAGCATCTATTTTTGAGTGAGAAGATGGTTTGGATGATTAAAGAGGGTGTGGTAAAAGAAAAAGGGGAGGCTCAAAGAATTCAAGCAGTATTTTATAGAATTACATTCTTTGGTCATTCCCTAGTTGAGTCCTCACCTTCTTGAGTTAATGCTGCTAAGGTACTCTGCAAAGCCCTGGGTTCTTGGGTGCGTGTTTGGAATGAGTGCTTTTTTCCCCATACTGACGTAAGTTAGGAGTTCTTGAGTTATTTTTTGTCAGTGCTCAGGTTTCAATTCTACCAAAGTGAGTCTGGGCTTCCCAGGTGGCACAGTGGTAAAGAATCTGCCTGTCAATGCAGGAGACACGAGAGACGTGGGCTTGATCTCTGGGTCAGGAAGATCCCCTGGAGGTTATGGCAGCCCGCTCCAGTATTCTTGCCTGGAGAATTCCATGGACAGAGAAGCCAGGCAGGCTACAGCCTTTAGGGTCACAGAGAGTCGGACATGACTGAACGCAAAATTAGTTTGGCCCCACACCTATGAGGTTAACCTACAAAGGTTAGGTTGCCAGATTAGGGTTAGGGTGCCAGATATGAAAAAAAAAATGCCATTTTTCACATTTATCTCCCCCTGTATCTTTGAACTGACCTGACCTAGTTTAAGACAAATGGTTGAGTCCGTTAATAATGCTTATCCAGGTTTGCCCTGTGAAGCCTCACAATGGACTCTGCTTCTCTCACCCAACCTGCCAAGAGCCACAAGACTGGCTTCCTAAAAACTGGGAAGTAACTCCTGGGCTACACATGAGGGCCAGGAGGGTGGAATTGGGTGATGGAAGGGACCACCAGTGCCCGCCTCACTCTATGTGACACAGAAGTTGGAGAGACCATGGCCACACTGTGCTGCTGTGAGTGACGAAGGCGACACCTCTAGGAGCCTGGCCTGGTCTCTGGCAAACACTCTGACTCCCTGGGTGAGGCATGTGGTTGCAGTGGATACAGGCTCTGGGTTGGATTCAGACTAGCACGTGGTTCTGGGAAGGGGCACACCCCCAGTGACTGAGGTACCCTCGCCACCAGCCCTGCCACCCTAGGCGGTGTTGACTGGTAAACCCTGCTCTGGGTTCCCCAGGGCACATCCTCGGGGCAGGAGTTAAAATTCCCCCTAATCTGATCATCTGCCCTGGCCTCGGGCTTTGTGCAAACACAAACCAAACACTCAAATAGCAGTGTATACTGAAGATTGAGCTCAACAGAAAGTTAGAGTTTTATTCTGGCCTATTTGGAAGAAATAAGGGAAACATTTAAATTCTGCCTCATCCATTAACAGACACGTATTTCTGACTGGTGATCTGTCCAGTCCTTGACCCTTTTTCCATCCTTTGTACATAGGGATCAAAATAGTGACTGACTCAGTTACAGCCCCGCCCCACTTTGTTCTGCACTTTGGGGGCGGGAGAGACATTCTGGAGTCTTTCAGTGTCTGTCAGATCAGAGTTAAATACAGTGCTATGTTTCTATTTCAGGGTCTGTCCACGTGTATTCACACTGATGAATGTCTGATTCAATCTGACACTATGTGATAATTTTTTCTTAAGTTTCTGTTGTCTCTTGGCAGAACTCTTATTTTTCTATCAAAACTCAAAAGAAGGAAATGTACTATACAAAAAAAGTGTAACAGTTCAGCCCTGGGGGTTATGAAACAGGGTGATAGGGTTATAGATGGGCTTCAACTCCTGAAACCTTAATGTTCCTGCTGCAGGCCCACCTCTAAAGGTAAGCAGTAGCACCCAGGCCCCTCCCACTGCATGTGACTAATTCAAACCCAGTGAATTGCAGGGCAGTGTCCCCCACACCCACCCTCTAGAGGTGCCACCTGGCCAGCATCAGGTATCTAGCTTGACTTCATTCATTCAGTTAGTAAAGACCTGCTTTTTCCAAAGTCTTGTTCTGGTACTGAAAGTACAACAGTAGACCAAACAGGTAAATCAGATACTAACACATCTAGAAACAATTCTTTGGCTGAAGGGGATGGGGGCAACAAAAATGTGTCCAACACAGTCTAGGGTTGAAGCTTCACAACTGAGAGCCTGGCTCCTGTGGGCAGGCTCAGCACATGAGGCCTCACCAGAGCAAAGAGGAAGGTCCCTCTGAGCCAGCACAGCCCCCAGGTTCCAGCCCCTCCCTAGAGGGCCCTCCATGCCTCACTGGCCTCCTTCCCTTGGGCTTGGGTTCTGGAAGTCATGTGCCCTGAGCAGAGGACACCTGCCTATGGTCACTGGGGAAGGATGCTGTCATCCTTTCCCCACCACCAACATGCAGAGTTAATAAGCAGTATTATGCTTTTGTTCTGGCCCAGGTGGTATGCTGGACCCTCAGAGAAAGTCCCTGTATGCATGGGGTTTACCATCTGCTCGGGGTCATCTTGTGGTTAAGAGCCTGGGTTCTGTGATCAGACTGTCAGAATTCAAATCCCAGTTTCCCCTTTTTATCTGGTGACCTTGAGCTAATGATCTAGCCTCTCTGCCTCTACTCATTTATAAGATAGAAGTATCATCTATTGGTAGCTAAGTCATAGGGCCATTGTGAGTTTCAACATGACTATGCATATAAGGTCTTGGTACAGCTTGGCACACAGAGGATGTGCTCATTAAGTATCTTTGCAGTTGTGATGACTATCACTATTTTCACTGAAAAACATGCTCTGTGAATTCACAAGGAAAACCCAATCCTTTGACGCTTTTTAATTTACTTGGATGGAGTTGTCTGTGGCTTTGGAAATTGGGCCTCCCTGGATATAACTCCTGCTTCACTCTCTGCTCAGTCAGTAGATCCCAGGAAGTATTTCACACCAGGGACAAAGAAGGCTTAGAAAGGGGACTGACACTTAGCAGCTGTGTGGATCAGAGCTCGAACATTTTCATTTAGGCCATAAAGTAAATATGATCTCATTTTAAGAATTGGGGGGGGGGGGGAAGAATTGTGGGTAGTAATACCAGATCACTCAGAGGCTGATTACAGAGAGATGCAGATATTGATACGCTTATTTATATAGGTGCATTATATAACAGGGCCTGTAGTGCATGAGACGCAGGTTCGATCCCTGGGTTGAGAAGATCCCCTGGAGGAGGGCATGGCAACCCACTCTAGTATTCTTGCCTGGAGAGTGCCATGGACAGAGAGCCTGGTGGGCTACAGTCCGTAGGATCGCAGAGTCAAATAACAACTGAAGTAACTTAGCACGCACACACATCCCACTCTTTAAAAGAGAGTTTGCCACTGAAAAATCATCAGCAAAAAATATTGCCAATAAGAAATTGGTAATATTGGCCACTTTACTTTCCACTCTGTTCTGTTGTACCTTTCTAATGTACCTTCTGAAGGTACTGCCTTTTTTTTTCAAGTCTGATGGTAAAGAAATCAAATCATCTTGGACCAAACTTTGCTCTGAAAAGTGCTGAGTGTTCTGCCCTGAACATAGTAGACTGGTCATTTCCAGTTATATAAACATAAAGTAAGTAGGCACCAAATATTCAGGGAGCAGGACATTATTATCAGCAAAAATTAACAAAAAATTTAAGTTAACACAGCCTTAAATACCTAAGGTTGTTTTTTGTTTTTTTCTGACTTAAAAAGACCATAGAGGGTGTTGCAGGATTAATACAGCAGTTTCATAAAGCTGTGGGAGAACCAGACTTCTCCCAACCTCCCCTTCCACCCCAGCATGTGGCCCAGGCCTCATTCCTCAAGGTCCAAGGTGGCTAAGCTCCGGGCATTACAGCCAGAAGAAAGGGAGAAAGAGGCATAGCACTTCTCTTTAAGGAGAGTTCCCAAAAGTTGACTTGGCATTTCTGTTTATATCCCCTCAGCCAGAATTAGCCAAACACAATTCCAAAGGAGACTGGAGGATGCTGTCTGGGTTCTGGGTGGCCATGTAGCGGCTTCTGTTAGCCAAAAGCATGGGGAGGAACAGAAGTGGGCTACGATCATGTCTGCCTGCAGGGTATCAGGATGCATTGTGGGTTTTTGTTTGTTTGGGGGGCTTTTTTGCTTGATAAAGTTCAGAAAATTCCCTTAAGCCTCTTAGAACTGTAATGTTTCTGGGCTGGGTACAACCATGGGACCACTTCCTCTTCAGAAGGACTAAGAGCAACCCCTCCCTGACCCCCAAGACCTTCACTCTCCCCTTTCTTTTCCCTTTCTTGCAGATTTCATGCCTCAATTTTGTTATTGTTGTTTACTAACCTGACATTTAAATTAGATCTCGTTCCCTTAGCAAGCTGTTCAAAATGTTTCTGGACTTATGGAAAATGTAGTTGTCAAACATTCATTCCATAAATAACACTGTTCATTGCTCACCTACTATGTCCCAACCCCAGTGCAAGGTATTGAGTGGTGAACAGAATTTCCACGACCCCTCTTTTTAGCAAATTAATGTAGTCACAGCACTATCCACAGAAATATAATACAAACAATATATGTAAGTTCCCGTTTTCTAGTATCCACATTTTTTTAAATGGTGAACTTAATTTTAGTAATCTATTTTAATTGAATGTTGAATTTTAATTCAACATATCTACAATATACCAATATGTGACCAATATAAGAATCATGGATTAGATATTTTACACTTCATATACCAAGTTTTCAAAATCCAATGTACGTTTTACTCTTAAGAGTACAACAAGTTTCAGGTTCTCAGCAGCCAGATGTGGCTAGAATATACTATATTCAGTCAAAAAACCACAGTCTGGGGAATTCACTGCAGGGGGTCCAGTGGTTAGGACTCTGCACTTTCACTGCTGAGTAGCCAGGTTCAAACCCTGGTCAGGGAACTAAGATCTCACAAGCCACGCAGCCAAATTTTTTTAAAAAAGAAGAAAGAAAAGCATAATCTGAAAGAGACAGTAAACAAATGGACAATTACAAATGGCACTAAGAATCAAGGAGACAGCTGCAGTGAGAAGGAAGGGGCGGCCTCTGTGAGCAGGGCCCGAGCTGATGCCTGAAGGATGAGCAGAGCAAGCGGAAGGGTCCTCCAGGCAGGAGGGCTCATGGGAGGAGGGAGCTGGTCCCTGGAGGGCCGCCGGTGGGAGACCAGGCCCAGGCTCTGCCAGAGAGCTGACCTGGGAGTGAGCCGAGGCTGGGCCCCAGAGAGTGCCCATGGCCTCCTGTCCACCCTGAAGCTGCCCACTCAGCTCCTCCATTCACTGTCCAAGGAACTTTCAGTGAACATCTCTCAAGGCTTAAACTGGCCCCAAATAACTTTCTGTTGCCTCTGACCCTGGCCCCAAACCCAAGACCTATTTAAAGGTGGATAACCTATACTCAGGGAAGTCAGAGCCTAGCGCAGAAAGGCTCCTTCTTGCTGCCTCAGGAGGCTTGCTGGCACAGAGTACACACTTTGTATATGCTGTGTGCACTTGGACCTGTGCTCCCAAACTTCTGCATTTCCTGGAGGAGGTATCACATCCAGGGGAAGCCAGGAGTTAGAAGCATCACCCCACCATGCCCTTCCTCTGCACCACTGCCAGAGAACAGGCCATCACATACACCTGAGCTTGACAGGAGTAAACAAAACCAGATTCCCTGGATCAACTCCAGCAGTCTCCCAGGTGCTCAAGACAAGCAGTATCTTCAGCCTTTTGTAAAACAGTGCTCAGTGTAGGTACGAATTTGCAGACTTGGCTGATAAATCCATGAGTCCAGCAGAAAGAGTCCTGAACTTTCCAAGACTCAAGCTGTCGTCCTCACTCTGCTTGCCATTAGCAGATTTAGGCACACCACCTCCTGCTTTTGGTCTCAGTTTCCCAGTCTGTACAGATTAAACCCCCAGCCATACCTGTCTGCTATAATGCTTTTCATGAGGCATCCAGGAAGCTGGAAGACGAAACTGTTAGCCATGGTGCCAGGACACTGAAAGGAGTCAGTCACCGCTGATGGAGCCTCCAATCTCCACCAGTTCTCATGCCTCACTCTTGTCCCTTGGGGGAATGGTCCCAAGACCACTGTCCCAAAAGCTGAGTCCCAGGGGTCCTGGCCCTTGTATCAGTGTATGCCACTGCTTATCCTGGCACTCCTGAGCCCCCTTCCTTAATACTGCACTTAAACCACCTTTTAGCCTACAGAGTTCATTCTTTTATCTCCCCCAGCAGAATTTAAGTTCCAGAGGGACAGGTATTTGTTTTACTCACTGCTGTAACCTCAATGCTTAGCACAGTACCTAGCATGTAGTAAGGCCTTTAAAAATATGATCTCAAGTGAAGGAGCAGATTCCACCCCCTCTTAGCAGCTGGAATCTAGGAGTGAGGGCCTTGGAGCCCAGCAGGCATGGATGGAATCCCTGCCCCATTACTTTCCAGCTTCCTCCCAGCTAGCCGCCCCCAGTCCTGAGCCCCAGCCCCATCCAGGGTCTCCTGCTGGCTGCTGGATCTGATCAAGGACTGCAGGAGCCTTACTGCTGCTTGTCCTCGCAACGCTTCCCAAAGGCTCAATTCCACCTTTGCCCAGAGAGGCCCCCTCACAGGGCTAGAACTAAGGGTGAGGGGCCCCAACCACTGCTGCCTCCCCTCCTCCCATTTCTGCCTGCAGGCTCGGGCCCCAACCCTGGCCCCAAACATAAGAGCCAGAGCCAAATGCTCCTAGCATATACCACCGTGGGTGATTTATTTAAGGGTCTCCAAATAATCACTTAAGTGTCACCATGGCAACCTGGAGAGTTGCCATGGAGATCGAAGCAGGAAACGTCCCCATGGAGACCCCTGGGAGACTCTCTAGGAAATCATTACCAGGTGGATGGGGCTTGGGAAGGGGGAGCTGGACAAAGAAGGGAGCCCCACGGTTCTGTGTGCTGGCAGGCGGAGGGGGTGAAGGGGCAGAGTGGGAAAGACCAGCTTAAAAAGGCAGGCAAGTTAATGATCTCCACCAAGTCTAGAGGCCCATGTGGTAAATAACTTCTGTTGTGTGCACAGAATATATCTGAAGGAAAAGACAGGAAACTAGTAAAATTGGTAGGGGGTAGAGGAGAGAGATTTTTCACCATATGTTCCTTTGTATACTATTTGAATTTCTTTTATCAGAGGTATGTAGGTATTAAATATTCCAAAATTTTAAAAGTTATTTACAAAGCATTTACTATGTTGGGTGTTTTACATCCTCAAAGCAGCGCCATAAGGTAGGTATTATACCTGTTACACAGATGGGGAAATGGTGGTTCAGAAAGGCCCACAGCCACACAGATGAGTGGGAATCCAACCCAAGTTTCTCCAGCACCCCTAAGCGAGTCTGGATTCTCTGATCTGCCAATGCCACGCTGAGCATTACAGAAAACGTTGCCCCCTGGACCTCAATTTCCTCACCTATAAAATAGCTTGGCACTTTGGACAGGATGGAGGCACATGTGCTGCTACCTCTGGCATCCTGTTGAAGTGCCATGGCTCTTTAGAAGGATTTCTGAGCGCTCTCATCACAGCCTGTCTCTTCTTTTTCCTCTCCCTCACCTCACTCTCTCATCCCAACCCCAGCAGTGGATCTTCAGGGTTCTAAAGAAAACACCCAAAGAACTCCGAATGTCAAGCCAGGAGGACTTCTGAAGAACCTCTAGATTCTGTCTCAGCAGAGAAGGAAGCGGTGGTCCAAGAGAGGGGAGGTGAGCCACCGCGGACGCCCTAAGACCCCTCCACACACCCAGTAAGGTGGCTACGATCTAAAACACAGATGGTAACACATGTTTGCCAAGCTGAGACATTGATGCACTGCTGGTGGGGAAGTCAGAAGCTTCATACACAGCTGTAAAATGGTTCAGCTGTGTCTGAGCTGCTACAGCAAAACCCTGGAGACTGTGTGGCTTAAGCNTGAAGAAAAGACCCTGATGCCAGGAAGGATTGAAGATAGAAGGAGAAGGGGACGACAGGGGGTGAGATGGTTGGTTGGCATCACTGATTCGATGGACATGAGTTTGAGCAAGCTCCGGGAGTTGGTGATGGACAGGGAAGCCTGGCATGCTGCAGTCCATGGGGTTGCAGAGTCAGACACGACTGAGCAACTGAATTGAAGTCCTAGATCAAGGTCCCAGCCTACTTGGTTCCTCATGAGGGTCGTCTTGCTGATGTGCAGATAGCTAGTTTCTTGCTAGAGCGAGGGTGGAGAGAGAAATCTCTGGTGTCTATTCTTCTTAAAAGGACACTAATCCCATCATGTGGCCTCCACCCTCATGACCTCATCTGAACCTAATTATATCCCCAAAGCCCTACCTTCTAATGCCATCACGTTGGAGGTTAAGGCTTCACCTATGAATTAAAGCGAGAGGGGCAGGCAAGCACTTAGTCCATGATAAGCTACTTTGGGAAAAACAGTCTGGTAGTTGCACAAAAGGTTAAACACAGGTTTACCATATGATACAGCTATGCCACTCCTAGGTATGTCCCCAGGAGAATGAAAAAATATTTGAACACAAAAGTTTGTACATGAATGCTCACAGCAGCATTATCCACAATAGGCAAAAATGGAAACAACCCAGAATCTCCATCAGTAGATGAACAGATAAACAAAATGTGAAATACAATGAGTATATCATAAAAACGATATATTCAGCCACAAAAATGAATGAGGTCCTGACACATGATACAATGGGGATGATCCTCAAAAACACTCTACTTCGTGAAAGAAGCCTCTCACAAAGGACCACACATGACCAATAAATGTCTAGAATAGGGAAATCTATAAAGACAGAAAGTAGATCAGTGGTTGCCTGGGGCTGGGTGGATAGGAAGATTGGATGGCTAATGTTAATGAGTATGAGGTTTCTTTTGGGGGTAAATGTTGTAAAATTGATTGTGGTGACTGATGCACAACTCTAAATATTCTGCATGCATGCTCAGTTGCTTCAGTCATGTCTGACTCTTTTGTAACCCTATGAACTGTAGCTTACCAGGCTCCTCTGTCCATGGGATTATCACAGCAAGAATACTGGAGTGGGTTGCCATGCTCTCCTCCAAGGGACCTTCTTGACCCAGGGATCGAACCCTTGTCTTTTATAGCTCCTGCATTGGCAGGTGGACTCTTTACCACTGGCACTACCTTCTAAAAGCCACTAAACTGTTTACTTTAAATGGGTAAATTGCATGGTGTGTGAATGATATCTCAATAAAGCTATTTTTAAAAGAGTGAGGGAATTCCCCGGAGATCCAGTTGTTGGGATTCTGAGCTCTCACTGCCAAGGACCTGGTCAGGAAACTAAGATCTTGCAAGCCATGTGGTGCAGCCAAAAACAAACAAAAAGGAATAGAGAGTGAAAGGGAAAGTACTTCCTCAAGGTTACACAGCCTTAGCAGCCACTCTTAAGACCTACCTCCCAGGCAGCCTCCTCGCACTCATTCTGTTCTCTATAAGGGTGGCCAGCAGGGCCTCTATGGCTGCTTCCAAAATGAGCTGGTGTAAACTACTGAGGGCTTCAGATTGTGTCCCCCACCCCCTGCCCACAGCCACAGCAGCATTGTTTTTTCTTTAATTGAAATATATATATTTAACTTACAGTGTATTCGTTTCAGGTATACAACCTAGTGATTCAGTATTTTATACATTATGTATCATGAAATGATCACAATAAATCTAGTTATCATCTGTTAGCATCAGAGCAGCATTCTTTAGTCAACTGAGCAGCCTCAAGATCTCATTTGGAGAAAGAGTTCCACTGCCAAAAAGAAAGAAAAGTAAAAGTTTGAATGCCATCGACCAGAGACAGTATTAAGGAGGGAAAGCAAAGTGATTGAGAGCCTGAGCATGGGCTTGTAGGAAGCATCTCTTCTGCTTCTGATGCTTTGACACCTTGGGGCCTTGCTGACCCTGGAAGAGATTGTGCCTCCCAGAACTAGCCAGTTCGCACAGGCAGTCAAGGGCCCTCCAGTGAGCACACCTTTTACATGCAAACCAGTCAATTCAGAGCCCATACTCCAAGCATTCTCTTCATCAAGTCCTTACAAAGCTCTCACAGTCCAGGCAGCTATTTCCCTGCCCTAATCAGTCCAGGGCCCAGTATCAGACAAGTAGAAGGCCCTATGCCCCAGAGCCCACTGAAACTTTTCAAACTAGTCAGTCTTATGCCTGCTTTCTTGTCTCACCTCTGCTTCCTGCAGAAACTACAGTAAACGCTCTTGCTCACGTTCTCTCTTCCCTTCTGCCTCCTGACTGACCCCAGTGCTTGCTGGTGTGACCCTGCATGGTGAGTAAAATACTATCTTTTCTTTCTTTCCTTGTTTTAAAGTGAGGTTGAACTGACATATAACATTATATCAATTTCAGTTGTATAACATAATGATTCAGTATCTGCATATAGTCTGTCCTCCATATCTAAGGGTTCAGCATCCATGGATTCAACCAACCATGGACCAAAATATTCAAACACACACACACATACAAAATTCTAGAAAGGTCCAAAAAGCAGAACTTGAATTTGCTGAACCAACAATTATTTACATTGTATTTACAACTATTTACATGGCATTTACACTGAATTAGGTATTATAAATAATCTGGAGATGATTTAAAGTATATGGGAGGATGTACATAGGTTATATGCAAATACTACACCATTTTATATAAGGGACTTGACCCAGATATTCTCAGAAGTCCTGGAGCCAATCCTGAGGAAATACCAACAGATGACTGTGTATGCAAAATGATCACCTCAATAAGTCTAGTTAATATGTGTTACCATACAGAATAACAAAACAACAAAAAATTTTTTTTTCTTGTGATGAGGTTTTTAAGATCTATTTTCTTAGCAAGTTTTTTTTTTGTTTTTTTTTTTTTGCTGAACCCCACGGCTTGTGAGATCTTAATTCCTTGACCAGGGATAGGACCCTGGACCCCCAGCAGTGGAAGCATGGAGTCCTAACCACTGGACCACCAGGGAATTCTCTCTTAGTAATTTTTAAATACACAGTGCAATATTAAGAATAGTCAAAAAAAAAAAAAAAAAGAATAGTCAACATTCTGTACACATACTATCTTTCCAATGATGATCATCTCCTGATCTGCTGGCCTCATCATATCTAAATAAGGTCTACAATTTTTAAAGCAGATCTCAACATTTTAAAAATAAAATAAACAGGCTTCATTCTGCTCTAAGCTTGCCTTGGCTCCTTATGATTACAGTCAAACTCCTTCTCCTCCATGCTTCACTTTCTTCACCCATAAACCTAGGTTACCCAATTACCCACTGAGCCTGCCTAAGGGCCCTCATATATTATCATGTTGTATATATATAACTGGCTGTGGTTTGCACAGGGGGTGTGCTGAAGGCCCAAGTGGGCACTCCCATCCAGACCCTGCTCTGTTTGCTGAGTTATGAATCTGCCAGGAGGAATGAGCATCTCATCCTACTTTTTAAAAAGACCCAACGGGTCAGCAATAGTCCTGGCCCACGTCCTGGGGCCGCCGTCAGGTTAAAAGAGGGAAGAGTAGTCGAACACCTAGGACAGCACCTAGCGCTCCAGAAACAGTGTCCTGGAAGGCAGGAGGGGGCTCCAGCTACTGTGATGACATCAAGGAAGGCTTCCATTTTTTCTTTTAGGGATGGGGGCTTTAGGCATACCTCAAGTTGATTTCATTTGCCTCAAAGGAAGATGACCTGAGTTAACTCCCAGGCTATGAATGAACAGATATCTGTACAATTTGTATGATCACATGCATAGCAGCTTTATTCCCATTAGCTAAGTGGTAGGAACCCAAGTGCCCACTGATGGATGAATGGATAAAGATGTGGTATATCTATACAATGGAATACTACTCATCCCTAAAAAGGATGAAATCTTGCCATTTGCAAGGACACGGAAGAACCTAGAGGGTATTATGCTAAGTAAAATAAGTCAGACGAAGAAAGACAAATACTGGTCTTCCCTGGTGGTCCAGTGGTTAAGAATCCACCTGCAAAAGCAGGGACACAGGTTCGATCCCAGCCTGGGAAGATCCCACATGCTGCGGGCCAGCTCGGCTCAGTGCCACAACCGCTGAGCCTGCACTCCGGAGGCTGACAGTCCCAGCTGCTGAAGCCTGTGCCCCCCAAGCCCATGCTCCACAACAAAGAGTATTCCCTACTCACTGCAACTAGAGAAAGCCCGCACGCAGCAACAAAGACCCAGCACAGCCAGGAATAAACAAACAAAAAGAGAGAAAGACAAATATGATATGATTGCAACACAGTCAAAAATAAATAAATAAAAAGAAAGACAAATACTGTATGATTTCACATATAAATGGAATCTAAAAACAGAAACAAACGAACAAGTGTAACCAAACAGAAATGGAATCACAGATACAGAGAACAAACAGGTGGCTGCCAGAGAAGGGATACAGGAGAGAAATAGGTGAGGGAAATGAAGAGACATAAATTTCCAGTTACCAAATACATGAGTCATGAGTATGAAGTATACAGAATAGAAAATACAGTCAATAACAATGTTATAACTTTGTATGGCGACAGAGGACAATTAGACTTATCATGGTGATCATTTTGAAATGTGCAGAAATCTGGAATTACTATGTTGTGTAACAGGAACTAACAGCGTTGTAAGTCAAATATATTCACAAACAAACAAACTCGTAGAGAACGAGATCAGATTTGTGATTATCATAGGCAGAAGGTAGGGGGAGAGGGACTTGGTAGTCAAAAGATACAAACTTCCAGTCAACAGAAAATAAGTATTAGGGATGTAATGTACAACATAACTCTAATGAACACTGCTGTATGCTATATATGAAAGTTATTAAGTGTAAATCCTGAGTTCTCATCACAAGACAAAAACTAATTTATTTAATGCTGTGTCCGTATGAGATGAAGGACGTTTACTAAACTTATAGAGGTAATCATTTCATCATTTCAAGTCAAATCATTATTCTGTCCACCTTGAACTTAAACAGTGCTGTATGTCAATTGAATCAATAAAACGGGAAGAAAAAAGAAAGAAAAAGGGAAGGAAATTTTGACATATTCTACAACAGGGATGAACATTGAGAAGATTATGCTAAGTGAAAAAAGTCAGTTGCAATAAGACAATACTGTATGATTTTCGCTTACAGGATGTACCTAGAGCAGTCAAATTCAGAGACAGCAGATATCGTTGTCAGGGCTTGAAGAGAGGCAGGAATGAAGGGTTATTGTCTAATGCGTGCAGTTTCAGTTTTGCAAGATGAAAAAGTTCTGGAGATTGACTGTTATAACAAAGAGAATGTACTGAATGCCACTGAACTATACCCTTAAAAATGGTTAAAATGGTAAATTTATGTTATGTATATTTTATCACAAGTTTTTTGGAAGTATACCCAAGTCATGCTTCCCAAAATAATCCATGCATGTGGCAATAATTACTGTTCACATCTTGTCCTCTAGCAAAACTGCTCAAGGCAGTGGGAAGTGATCTTTAAACTGTTTCCCCACTGGTGAGGTCACAACACTTGTTTAGACTCCCTTGGGACTGGCAGGCTGAGCACTCTGTGACGTGGGTGAGACGCTTTGCCCACACCAGCGATTATACTTTAATTACACACATACCTGCACACACACACATACAGGTGCATTTGCTAATAGGATAGTAGAAATTGATATCTATTTTAATTGGGATTTCTTTGTCTTCTCCCAAGACTCAACTTTTTATTGACCAATTGTTTTCATTTTTCACAAGCTGCCTGTTCTTAATGACACACGATTATCCAGGAGAGCAGGTGGGAGCACTTTCTTCCTACTCCCATTGGTGTTTCAAACATCACTGCCCTAGTTTTGATAACTTCCTTTGCCTTTGGCATCAGGTTTATTAACCAGAGTTCCTGGTAACAAGAAACAGAAACCAAATCCTGCCAATGACGTGGAAAAGTTTTGTTTTGTCTTTGGAAACATATCAGGCAGCTTAGAGAATCATTGTGAAGACTGGAAACCCACAATGAGAAAATGGGCAAAACCCAAGGGTGAATGGTGACAGAGAACCAGTTGGATCTGGTAGGGACCCGAGGCACCATGCCAGTGAGCCTGGTGCTGCCTTAGTCCCTGCTGCCAAAATAAGACTCTCTGTTCTCTTTACAGGAGCATGCAGTTGGTCATGATGCCAACAGGGACCAGGCGACAGAGGTAGTGAGGGACTGTCATTTCTATCTTGGGGAATGGGAGTCAACAAGAGGCCCTCACTCAATGGAGAAAGGGGGGATTTAGATGCTGGGCTGTTGAAAAGGTGATGCCCACCAAGTACTTAACAGTGTACAAAGCATCATATCCATAAAAATAATGATCAGTGGTCACCATTTTCTTTAGTTTTGCTATGTATGCAGCACCTTGCTGAACCTATTCAATGCTATGACTGTTAACGCTTACAATGATCCTCTGAGGCTGGTATTACTCTTGCTGTTTTGTAAATGAGAAAGCCAGGTTCTAGCAAAAAACAACAACAGAGGAAATGGAGTGCAGGAAGTGATCAAAGAAATTCTTGAAGAAAATTTTCCAGGGACTTCCCTAGTCGTCCAGTGATTTAAGAATCCACCTTCCAATGCAGGAGATGTGGGTTCAATCCCTGGTCAGGGAACTAAGATCCTATGTGCCACAGAGCAACTAAGCCTGAGAAGCACAACGAAAGATCCTGTGTGCTGCAACTAAAACCCAACACAGCCAAAAATAAATAAATATTTTTAAACTTTTTTTCCCAAAACTGAAGGACATGCATTTCCAGATTAAAAGGGACCATTGAGTACCTGATGTAATGGATGAAAATAGACAACCCGTATCAAGACAAATCATTATAATTCAGAACACAGAAAACAAAGACATCTCACCAAAGGAAGGGAGGATCAGGTCAGAAATTAGAATGGCTTGAAACAGTCTCAAGAGAAGCACCAAAAGTGAGAAGATCCTTCAGCAATGCTTTCAAAAGTCTGCAGGAAAATTAACCACAACTTAAAATCTTATATGCAACCAAACTATCGATAAAGTTTGAAATTAAAAAAAAAAAAAAGCCATTTCCTGTGATTGAAATGCTGTTAAATGATCAGAAAAAGTTTTTTTCATGTACTCAAGAGGCTAGTGGAAGATGTGATTCACCAAAATAAGTTTGTAAAGCAAGAAAAAGACAGCAGGAAGCAGGAATCTAACTCAGAAGACGTTAGTGAAGAAAGATCACTAGATTAAAAAAGTACAACAGGCCCAGGCGACACCTAGCCTAAATCTGATTAGGTCAGGAAGTTCCAGGAGAGATTGCTTCAAGAAAATGAAACAGGTAGAACATCATCTAAAGGTAATGAGGGGAGATTTCAGTAACTGGAAGAGTTTGGCATTGAGTACAAAGAAAATTAAGTGAATCGGGGTCAGGGGATGATTAGTAACTCCAGGGAAAATAAAAGCTTATGCATGAAAAGAGAAGTAATCATAATTCATGCCATGGCTTTTAGCATAAACACATGGGAATAGCGTTCACCAAATGGTAATAATATAAACACCAACTGTTGTTCTAGTCAAATTATTATACGGTTATATTGGGAGGATGGAGGCAAGGAAGGGAGAGTGGGTTGTTGGAGTGGAGAAGACAATAATAAATAGTGCCTTAAGCTGAAAAATCGTTGAAGTAGTAATAAAACAATATTATTTAGGAAATTATGGCAAATGCCTAAAGAATGAGTCATAGAAATTGAAGGAGAGCTCTGGAGAAGGAAATGGCAACCCACTCTAATACTCTTGCCTAGAAAACTCCATGGATGGAGGAGCCTGGTGGGCTACAGTCCATGGGGTCGCAAAGAGTTGGACCCGACTGAGTGACTTCACTTTCTCATGAGGGACAGAGCTTTTTCATAAGTTTTGCACCACTATCTGCCTCCTGGAGGGATGTGAATGAATAACTTTAATGAAAATTAAAACTATGCTCTGATTTTTATCTTAGGATATACAAGCTGAGGCAGGCAGACACAGGAAACAATACAAAAGAGATACATAGAATCCAGGATCCTAAAAGGAAACTTTCCTTGTAGACAGGGGAAGAGACAGTACACACAGTTGAGACGAACAGCTGTACTTCCAGAAACAGGCTGGCCCAGGCTAACTATTGTGACCTCCAGGAAACTGGCAGAGTTCATAGACCACCTTTGAACTTGACCTTCCAGGAGGCATCCCTGTTCTCCAGGGCAGGTACCATGAGATGGAGGTCCCTGGAACGCAAAGCAGTCATGACTCCCCACCCTTTCCTCAGCTCCTCTCCATCGTCTGCCCCGTCCTCCACCAGCCCCTGCTCAGGGCCCCTCAGGAATCCTGGCAGGAGGTGACAACTCTGTGCTCAGACTTGCAGAGATCAAACCGGCTTCAGGAATTAGGATGCTCCTCAGAGCCAGCAGACAAACCTGGCTTGGATTTGCACCCCACTCCTGCCCCCCACATCCTCTATCCCCAGTCATGGTCATGTTTGCAGGATCTAGGCAGACAGCCCAGCCGACCCACCTGCGCAGCTTCCCCAGACATTCCACACCCAGACAGTGGTGCCGGGAGTGAAGCTGCAGAGAAAGGGAAGGAATTAGGGGAGAATTAAGGTGAGGAAGTGACTCAGCCCAGCATAAGCCTGCAGGCATCCGGAGGAGCTCTCACAAGGCAGTGTGGCCGCTTGTTTCGGCTTTCAAGTTGGCCTGGGAGCATTGCTGAAATGTGACTCGCTCTGCTCCGCGGAGCACGGAGGGTGGAGGGGAAAGTTGGCTGGGCTCCGGCTCCCCTCCTCCACCCCCAGAACATCTCTGGTGGGACCAGCAGGGGAAGAGTGGGAGGCAGGGATAGGCTTGGGGGTCCTTGGATTTGGCATGCCTGTGAGTTTCTTTCTCCTAGATTTGCTTGCTTTATGCAGAGTGGAGCCAGGTGGGAGAGATCACCCTAGGGGCTGGAGACCTCTTACTCACCCTGCCCACCAAGGGGACTGAGGGTGGATCGTTGGCACCTGATAGGGAAGGACAAACCTCTTGGGGCTCAGAAGAAAGGCACTGTTCTATAGAGGGTGTGCGGTCTCACAGTTAATTCAAGCTCAGGTTCTTGACTATTTCTTCATGGAAAAAACCCTGGGAAACACAACTATCCCATCTGTTTGTGGTGAAATCACTCAGTCACTCCACAAACATTCTGTATGCCAGTGTCAGGGCTCATTTAGCGAGAATTTAAAAACTAAACCACCTCACACCCATTAGGATGGCTACTACTCAAAAAGCATGTCAACTATACAATTGACTCTTGAACAACACGGATTTGAACTGCACAGGGCCACTTATACACAAAACTTTTCAATAGTAAATACCACAGTTACTATCATGGTCCATGGTTGGATAAATCTAAGAATTCGGAGAAACCTAAGGTATGGAGAGCTGACTATAAATTATACAAGGATTAATCCTGCCTTGTTCTCAGGGGTCACTTCACTTCAATAAGAAAGTATAAAAAGAAAAACCCAGAAAATAACAAGTGGTGGTGAGGATGTGCAAATATGTGATCCCTTGTTCACTGATGGTGGGAATGGAAAATGGTGTAGTCACTGTGGAAAACGGTATCATGGTTCCTCAAAATATTACACAGAGAATTACCATATGATCCAGCAACTCTGCTTCCAGTATACATCTAAAAGGACTGAAAGTGGTATCTCATGGAGATATTTGTACGCCCATGTTCATAGCAACATTATTCACAATAATCTAGAGGTGGAAGCAACCTAAGTGTCAGTGAACAGATGACTGGATAAACAAAATGTGGTAAATACATGCAGCAGAATATTATCCAGGGTTATAAAGAAAGGCAATCCTGTCACATGCTACAACATGGATGAACCATAGGGACATTACGCCAAGTAGAACAGACCAATTACAAAGGGACAAATATTGTATGATTCCACTAATATCATGTAGCATACCTAGAGTAGTCAGATTCACAGCAACAGAAAGTAGAATGGGGGTTGCCAAGGGCAGAGGGAAGAGGGGATTGGGAAACTATTCTCTAATGCATGTAGAGTTTCAGTTTTGCAAGATGAAAAAGAGTTCTGGAGATTGTTTGCATACCAGTGTGAATATACTTAACACTACTGACCTGTATACTTAGAAGTGATTAAGAGGGGACTTCCCACTTCCCTAGTGGCGCACTAGATATAAGAATCTACCTGTCAATGCAAGGGACATGGGTTCCATCCCTGGTCCAGGAAGACTGCACATGTCACAGGGCGACTAAGCCTGTGCGCCACAGCTACTGAAGCCCTGAGACGCCACTGCAATGAGAAACCCACGCACCACAAGGAAAAGTAGCCCCCCCTCACTGCAGCCAGCTAAAGCCTGTGCAAAGCAACGAAGACTCAACGCCATCAAAAATAAATAAATAAATGATTTTTAAAAATGATTCAGATGATAATTTTTATGTTACAAGTATTTTAAGCATAATTAAAATAATAATAATTTGACCTTTTTTTTTTTTTTTGGAAGAGACACAATTCCTCCACCAACATTCCCAGATCGAGCTGGGCAGAGAGACCGGAGCATGGCCACACAACATTAATGTCTGCCCAGTGACGATCTGTGAAATACTTGGTGGAAAGTACTACAAACAAGGATGAAGGTATTATAGGGAAGCACAGAAGAGGCATTTTGCTCAGGGGAGAAGAGGGGTTGGTTATGGAGAAAAGGTCATGTGAGCCGTATTCTCAAATAGTGGGTTTGATCAAACCAGAGAATTCTGGTTATCACATCAGTTTTAGGACTTTGGGAAAACTCCCTTTGAGCCTCAGTTTCCTCCTGTGTAAAAAGACAAAAATACCAACACCACAGAAGATTAAATGAGGAAATGTATGTCAATAGGCTAAGACTAACTGGCACATAATACACACTCATTTAATGGTAACTTCCAGCATCACTGTTGTTATTGTTAGCATCATCATCGTCATTGTCATTATTATATTTTGGCCCATTTTTGATAATGTGTGTGTGCTCAGTTGCTCAGTCGTGTCTGACTCTTTGTGACCCCCATGGACTCTAGCCCATCAGGCTTCTCTGTCCATGGGATTTTACAGGCAAGAATACTGGAGGAGGTGGCCATTCTCTTCTCCAGGGGATCTTTCTGACCCAGGGATTGAACCTGTGGCTCTTGTGTCTTCTGAATTGGTAGGCAGATTCTTTACCACTGTGCCACCTGGGAAGCCCATTTGGACAGTGGTAAG